GGGGGGAGGGGGGGGAAAAGGGTAACAAGATCTCAGACAGGGAGCAAAGCACCCTCGCTTCAAACGCTGGGACCTGACTTAGCAACGTACCTATTGAACCCTACAGAAGCTTGGCTCAGAGTTTGTCCTCCGACTGCCAGGTACCAGTGTCCACCTTGGTCAACTCACTGTGTCTGTGTCACAGAAGCCAGGGAGAAGAGAGGTGAGTGGAAGGGTCTGCCAGCCTCCCTAACAGGCCCTCCCCAGTCTGCAGAAGGGCAACAGATCTTCGGGCTTCTCTTGCCTCCCCCACAGGGCCCCCTTTTCCTCCTCTTTGAGCAGCTTGTAAAAGATCCCATCCCACAGAGAAGCACCGCAGCCGTGACATACAGAAATGAGTCCTCTCAGCATCTCAGAGTAGCCTTTTCTACCCCTGGCCCTTGTGACCTTCCCTTACAGCGCCCCTCTCCTGCACCAGCACAGTCTCCTTCCTTGCGCCCATCTCCACGCATGCCAGGTACTAGAAATTCCTTGGGGCTACAGAGGCTCTTCATCAATTCACCCATATTGCTAAAAGCCTCAAGCCTTTGCTTCCACCATTTGGTTCTGATGGCACTAGCCCCCACTTTGCACCTGGTTTTATGAGTCAGTCCCACCATTCCCCTTCTCTCTTGTTCCTTCCTTCCTCTTACTCCCTTTCTCATCTCTGCTCCTGTTCCTTTTTTTTTTTTCTCCAGTTTGCTATCAGACTCATCATTCCTTTTTTCTCTCACCCTGTTATTCTCCTCTTCCAATCTCTCCTGCTCCTCTCCTTCAAATTCTACCTGGGCAGGGGCAAAGGAGGAATATAATGAAGCTACGGTGAGTTACAAACACTCTTGCACTCAGTGACTGCACAGCAACACTGTTCCCTTGTCCTTTTATTGCCTATACCCTGCTATGTGCCACATTTGTTCCTTGAGAGTATGAGACTAAGTCCGAGATCTACCTCGCAAGCAGGAGGGGAAAAAGAAATGAGCTTCCAAGTAAAAAGAAAGATTGAGTGTATCTAATCCAGGGCCACACAACGGTTCAAATGTATACGTCATACTTTCACAGCATCACAACATCCATAGCTGTTTGACAGGTTTAACAGCAGCATGCAGAGAAGCTTCCAGCCTAGCTGCGCTCTGGTTAATCCAGCTAAAAGGCCTGTGAAGCCACAGTAGCATAGACCTGTCTACCTAGGTAAATATCCAGAAACCTGTAGGGAGGGTCTTATGCCTCACACCAAAGCCCCACAT